TATAATAACGTTTTTTGTATTACTTTTGTTTTTCTAATAATATGTGTAGACACACTTAAACTCCAGTTTTTAAATATAGTAGAAAAAAAAAAAAAACACTTTACAATTAATCCAATTTTTTATTTATTTTTTCTAATAATGGGGTGTCTGTTGTATAGTTGGAGGATAAAAAATAAAAATCCCAAATAATTCATGATTTTTTAAGAACAGAAGTTAGCTTTAGTGCATGTGCTCAAAAGTCCTCTTTTTTCTTCTTCTTCTTTGTCTACCTCTTATGCCATTAGTTAGCATCGAGGAGCCTCAATCCAGTGTAACCACTCTTCCAGTTCCCTGCTTAGCCGCTTCATCTCATTGAGGATTTTGCTTCTTTTACTCCCAATTCTTTGAATGTACTTCTGGAACGTGATTCTGGGGCGTCCGCGTGGTCTCCTTCCTGTGGGTCGAGCCTCTAATATCTTTATAGGATTCATGTTCTCGTTCATGCAGCAGACATTTCCAAACCACTGGAGTTGCCGTCTTTCTAGAGAGGTTTTAAGTTTGGTAACTCCTAGTTGATCTCTAATGCTTTCGTTCCTAATGTGATCCCTTCTAGTTCTTCCAACAGATCTGCGAAGGAACCTCATTTCTTCTGCTGTTATGCAACATGAGTGTAGGTAGATAAACAGACTTGTATATATGCATTTTGGTCGTCTTGTTGGTTTTACTAATGACAAACTCCACTTTCGTTTCAAGTAAATTTTGTCTTGTTTACAGTGAATCAATTTTTAGTTAATTATATTAAATTATGTTTTAGTTATCACTTCCTATTCATCAAAAACCATGGCTTACTTAAAAAAACACTTAAAAGTTTTTATTGGAACTTGTACTTATTTTTTGTCATTAGCAATGAAGGTTATCTTATGTTTTAGTTTTAAATTATGACTCAATCATTGGTTTGGCAAGGTATGGGAATATGTCGTACTGACAAAAAATATTTTTTTAAAATAATTTATGAAAGTATATTTTTAGTTTTAAATGTAGCCTCAACAAATTTGTTTAAACTATTAAAGCTACTAGAAACAAGAATTAAGAAAATGAATAAATGTGTAATGATAAATAAATTTGTAATTCTTCTCTGATTTAGATTCGGATACAAATTACAGTTAGATTAGTATTGTGCAACACACTAATGGATCCAGGATTTAATTTGGAAGGAGGGGCTTTGGCCCGAAAGATTTTTTTTGTATGTAATTACTTGAGAAAAAAGAAAGAAACTAACTACCTATATGAAATGGTGTTTAAGTGATTCTTCAGCCCTATTAAATGTAATTAGACGAACAATAATACTTTTACAGATCATTTTTTTCATAAAACAGGGTTATATTTTACTATTTTTTGGGGGAGGAGAGGGGGCTTCAGCCTCCCTGGGGTGCAACATAGTCCTTGGTATTAAACTTCTTTTACATACTCATTGCAAAGTCAGAATGCTTTTCTTGAGAATCAAGGATACTATTATTGTCAATTCTTATTTTATCAATTCATTATATGACAATGTACAGTATAAGAACATTATAAAAGGCATAGTGTAAATTTTATATAAATAATGCCTTACCTCGATGGTGAAGTTTAGGTTTTTTTTATGGTTAAAATAAGGTTGAAAATTTAATTTGAATTTCACACTATCCAGACTTTTAATTCATAGTAAAAATTCGATTTAGTAAAGATACATGTTATCCAATTATTGAATCCCAATAATTCAGATTTTTATATTTAAAATTTATATTATTATAATTCATTAGAGAATTCTAATTCATAAAGTTTAGATAAAAGGCCTATAATATACCAGCAAAAATACTTGTCATATTGATTACTGTCTCAACCTTCCATAATCTTTGTTACTTTATTAGTTCTAACTATAAATCTTACGAAGATGATCATTACTATGTTTATTATTAAATATTCAATAAACTTTCATGAGCCATTGGTTTTTAACTTTTATTTTTTTAAATAACACAAACAGAAAACTATAAGTCTGAGAAAAATACCTAGTATATTTTAAGTTAAATTTGATAAATACTGATTTTAATTTTTTTTACTCCTTTGTTGGATTGGCTGTTTATTTGGGTTATGTTAAAGTATTATTGCATCAAACAAATTTAGGCTCTGCTTACTCATGAAAATCATTTTTTGTTCTAGTTAATGAGAAAATATAATGAGATTAATCAGTTCAGCTTGTTTTTAAATTGTCGATTGAAACTATTGCTTGTCATTAACATTAACGTTTGATAGTTGAATAATATGCTATAGTATTGCTAATATTTAGCAGTAACTTTTGTTTTATTTTTTACCTAATAAAGTCACAGTAAAGGCATTTTCTGTTGCACTTTTCTTTCACTTGTTGCACTTTGCTGAATTAATTTTATTTTCACTAACAATTTCATGTTTGTTTAATATGTTTATAGATTTTGTTATAAATCTATCTTTTTTTACTTTTTGTTTTTCACAATTTTTGCTTAATACCACCTCTCACCTTTTTCAAAGTGTTGTCCTCAACATTTTCTGACTTCTTTAAGCAAAATATATTTAATAGTATTCCTAATGGCATTTGAAATTAATTATTAAAGTTGATGCCAGTAAATCTTTATTAGTACGTTTTATTTATTTTAATTCTAATGCTTAAGCATTGTTTTTAGTTTTGAATCAAGGAAGCCAAGCGTTAGTATTTCTGGATTATGTTTAAATTATATGATCATTATTTTTTAATTGTTTGGTATTAAGATCATGACTTACTTCAATTTCCAATAACTTCCATGTTCTATATGTGTCTGTATTATGTTGAACCTATTCTTTTTTATTACTATAATTTTTATTATTTTTAAGTGATACCAACTTAATTTTCAGTTACTCTCAGTAATTCACTTTCAGTATTATTAAACTATAGTGCCAGTTTTTACTTAACTTTTTTCAATTGATATTGGAATGATTTCAAGTAGTCGTGTGAATTTGACATGAATATATGCTTATGACCATCATTTCTCGAGAAGGAAGCCTGGATAACAATTGGTGGCATGGAGGCATCAGAGTGATGTTTGGCGATGTTTTTCAGGCCTCAAGAGGAATCATCAGCGTATGCGGGCTACCATCTTGCTTATGAAGTCAAAAAACTCATGTACGCTCTATCTGTCTGTCTCTCACTATTTCACTTTCTATGTTCTACTTTTACCTTTCCCCCTTTTGTTTTGTTTTATGTTATTACTTAACATTTGGTTTTATTTATTTATTCTTTTATGTTTGCTTTCCTTGTGTTGTTTGCTTACTCCTTTGTAATATATGTTTAGGTGTTTCTTTATCTCATTTTTTTTATAACTGTTTTAATTTTTTAATATTATTTTGCATGGCTTGATGGTATTTTGTGTTACACTTTTCTATTGCTTTTAGTTATGTTCAGGAAAGTTAGTAAATTTGACTATCAGGGATGGGAAAGTTACAAAAATTTTGTAAAATCTTAAATGGATTTTAATGGAATATAATATTTATTTCATAGTTAATGGTTCAAAAGTAATTTTTACTATGCCTTAACTTTTTATTATTATTTTGAAATTAAAATTAAAAAAATCTTATGGCCTTAATTTACCTTTTATTTTCTATTTCAAGAAAGTGAAATAAACAATTTTTTATTATTTTTTTATATTACATTTTTCATGTTTTTTAAGGTTTTACTGATTGATTAAATTTTATTATTTTTGTATTACTATATGTTTTTTTTTTTTTAAATAATGGTTATTTATGTTTATCTAGTCAGAGTTTAATTATGAATTTGTATACATGTCTTGATATATTTTTATTAAACTTCAATATTTCAAGTTTATTTGAATAATAATTATTTTCAAATTTATATGTAACTGTGAATTGCGGGTAGTTAAATAAAGCAAATATATGCATGATTCAACATCCCGAGAAGCAGATTAGTGACTTGGTCCTCACCACGTTCTTTCTGTTAAATGGTCAACCGTACGTAATTGCTTAGAGTTGTAGTTTTATTTTTATAAACCTCTATTTAAGTAGCCTCATGATTGTCCTACTGAGGCTGAGTGCAGCCTACTCCAGATTTGACCTCTCAAGAAAAAATCCTCAAGGGCCTCAGAAATCCAGCCCATGTCTCTAGGATTTTTAGTCGAAGGTACTAGCCACTGTACCATTTCTATGGTCAATATTTGATCTTTTTTTATATGATGAACAATGAATTATCTTAATTTTTTTTTTTTTTTTTAACTCTTCCGAAATACAGTAGAGTATTATTATGGAAATATTTTATTTTATTCCTAGTTTAAAAAAATATTAAAATGTGTGTTTTCATTATTCTTCAAAACATTGCTTCTATAATCTTTTTAAGATTAAGATTTATTCATAAAATACGTAATAATTTTCCTATCCATGATTGTATTTGACATGGTGCATGTTTTCAGTAGTTTTTTAATGAATGAAAGAAAAAGCTGATTTCAGGAAGTTTTCAATTTTACAAATTTATGAAAAACAAATGTAGGCATGGATGTTTCCATTTAATCGTAATGAAGTTTTACAGTTATATATTTAGAAATCATCTGTAAATATAAAAATTTAGAATACATATTGAGTCTATAATTTTATAGGAACAACCATATTTTGAGGAGTAGTTCTTAAGCATATATCCCAATTGAATGATTAGTTAGCTATTTATTGTGAAATAAGACAACACTAGGTGTATTAGCATTGTAGATATTATGTACTTGCATGTATTATGTAATATATAGTTGATTTGAATATTTAAAGTGTGATTTTATCCTTAAATTGTATTTTTTATAATAAATCTTTTTTATGAATACTTTAAATTTATTGAAAATTAAGTATATTTTATAATTTAAAAAATTAATTAATTTTTTTAAGTAATTATCTTTATTATTTTTTAAAAACTAAAATTGGAACTTATATTTTTTATACTGATTTAATACAATTCCAGCTTAGTTCTTTATTTATTTTTGTAGGCCTACCAGTAGGAGTACAGGTGGTAATAATGTGAACAATAATAGCGGAGTGGGCTTGCAAGTTGGAATAGCAGACGATCAGGCTAAGGATTTTGATTTTGAGAAGACAGAAATGAAATATGATTCAACAGGAATGTTTCATTGGAGTCCAGCAAGAAATCTTGAGGACTGTATTCTGGTATGAATAAATAACATAAGGAAGGTCCAAATGAAATTCAAAGTCCTTTTTATGCAGATACAGATTAACTCATGTTTATATTGAACTTCCATATATCAAATATTTCTTTTTTTTTCAAATTAAAAAAATTGACATTTATTTAAAAAAAAAACTATTTCTACATCAAATAATGTTTTAAAAGATTGAATGAAAATTTTTTTGTTCACTTTTTATGATGATACAAGAATTCAATGATGTCTGCCATAATTCTGTCTCTTTAATAAAAAATTAAACTAAACTATTGAAACTAACTACCTTCAAAACAGAAAAGAAGATGATATAAAACATTTTTTAACCATTTTCAGTTATTGATATTGTGGCTGAAATGGACATGGAATAATATTAAGGAGGTTTAACATAATTATTTGAGCATTGAGGTTACATCTTAACTGAAGAAAATCTTAAACTTTCACATTTGAGACGTAGGATTCCATAACCAGTCAAGTCCATTTTCCAATTTTATTGTCTTCTTTAACCATTTTTCTAATTGATTATGTTAAGGTGAAAGGATTTCTTTTTTCAAAGTTTTTGAACTTTTTATTCACTTTTCCTTTTAGCCTCAATCTGAGTAATCAGAAATGTTAATAGTTTGAAACATGAAAAACTTATTGCTCTTTTACTAGATATAACAGGAATAGAAAAGGAAAGATCAGACAAATTGTCACACAAAATTTTCTTTTAGCATAGCGCTTAACAGTCGGGGAAAAGTTTAAGATATAACAAAAAAAAAAAAAAAATTTTTACACTCTTTTCCCGTTTAGCCTTCCTGTAAACAGTCAGAAAATACTTTGAACTTTGAAAAACTGACTAATAAATTGTAATGCATTTAAAACTTTTATTCTGTTACTCTTTTATCTAAAGGTCTCTCATGTTAAAATTTAATTGTATTGTTATTATTGTTTAAAATTCATATGCTCTTGGAAGAAATTTCTAGAATGATAATAAAACTATACAACCAGCCAATTTTGTCCATAAATAAAAGCAACTAATTTTTTTTAAAATACCACTTCAGACATTAATCAATTATTAAACAGATTGAGGAATTTGAAACATCTGTAATAAATCTTCTGAATTTAATTCTTGAATTACGGCATAAATAAATATTAGAAATAAGAACTTATAAGATAGATATTTAAAAGGGATAAAATTCGGATTCAAATCAGAAAAGTTGGAACTTACAAAATGTTCTTAAAATGAAAGATAAATTTTGTTGGAATTATTTAGTCATTTTGTTATTTAATGAGAACAATTTCATTACCTGGTTATTTTAGTTGGTATATTTTATAAAACAAATATTTTTTTTTTTTTTTTTTTTTGAACTTGATTCTTCAACTCACACCTGTCAGAAGTTCCGACAATCAGCGAGTGTGATGTCAATATGTAGAGATTGGTCTTGGAATAGGCGTGAGGGAGAGGAGTACCCAGCGGCGTCCTTCCTGCATAAAACAAATATAAAATTTAAAACAAAGCTGTTTAAGATCATACCATGTTTTAGTATGTTTTCAGCACTGTTTATTATTTAACAGGATAGAAATCAAGCAGCAATGACAGTTCTCAATGGCCATGTTGTTGTTTGCCTGTTTGCTGATCCAGATTCACCACTCATCGGGTTAAGGAACTTAGTGATGCCCTTGAGGGCCTCCAACTTTCATTATCATGAGCTAAAACATGTAGTTATTGTTGGAGCAGTTGATTACATCCGAAGGGAGTGGAAAATGCTTCAAAATCTTCCAAAAATATCAGTTCTTAATGTAAGTAAATTAAGAAAAGAGAAGTAGATACATTGACAGTATATCTGCAAAATCTCATGTCCCATTTATTTAATTTTTTTTAAGTTTTGCATTTTTATAACAAAGTGAAAACTTTTAGATTATAAAGAAAAGTTCACAAAATAGTGTATAATTTTGACTTTATCACTGGTCTATAAACAATTGGTAGCTTAGGTAATTTGTAAGTTTAGAAGGCTTCAAAGAGTTTGAAGTTTTTTTTACATATCAGATGCTTCCTAGAGATTTTGTAGATTTCAAAAAGCTTCTTTATCACTTTCATGATTGAACTATTATAAAAAAGTGTATGTTTGTCCAAGGCGAAACTATAAACCTGCATGCTGATGACATCCAAATTTACCTCTCCTTCAATCCGACTGATTCCTCAGAAGCCATTCTAAAACTATAAGAAGATATTAATACAATAGGTGCTTGGGCAAACCTCAACAGGCTCTCACTGAACACCCAGAAGACAAAAGACTTGATCAGATCCCCCTCACTCCTCAAATCCTTCCTATTATCCCCCAATCTTCTTCTGAACAACTCACCTTTCTTATTATTCCATACTTCCATTAGAAACCTGAGTGTTACTTTTGATCAAATCCTCTCCTGTAAACCACACATCTCCCAAATTGTCTATTGTACTATCTCCACCCTAAAACAGTTCAATCGTCTATGCTATCTCCTTCCATATAAGTCCTCTCAACTCCTAGTTCCCTCTCTGGTTTTCCTTCACCTGGACTACGGCTGTATAGTGTACAGAGGACTCTTGGGAGATTTTGAAGCCAAACTTAAACGCCTAAGAAATTATGTAGTAAGTTTTGTTTTCGGAATCTCAAGAGATACACATATTACGCAATATTACATTAAGTTGAAGTGACTCTATCCATCCTATCACCATCAGTACTTCCTTTCAGTTTAGAACTCATCGACCTTCCTATATTTTTCATAACTTAAGATTTAAATTCTCCATTCAATCCTGTCCCACCAGATCTCATACTTCCTATCTCTATCCTCCAGTTAGTTCCGTGAGAACTGCTGCATTTGACAAATTCTTTGCAATTCAAGCTGTCTCCCTCTGGAATTCTATCCATCCTGATATTCGATGCGCACAATCAGTTTTCTCTTTCAAACCTCTCCTCTTTAAACACTTACTCCTTTCTCAATCTGACTGACTACAAAATATACCCAAGAGAACTATTTAAGTACCTCCAGAGACTATTTATGTTATGTTGTTTCCTATGTTTGTTTTATATATATATATATATATATATATATATATATACTCTTTTTTCTTTTTCTCTCTCTTTCTTCTGTATTTTTACTTTTAATTATTTATTATTGTAAATATTTAATTTATTTAAGACCACACAGACATGCATTCTGTACTTATAATTTGTTCCAAAGGGATAACAATCCCAGAATAATAAAATATATCTTCATTTCATATCAACTATTGATTTGAACAATAGATTGAGTAATGATCTAAGATATATTATGTTGCTCATTTCCTAATTTTTTCTTATGATTAATTAAAAACATATTTTGATTTCTTCCAGCCCCTTATAGTAATGAATTGTTGCCTTTTCCTATGATAAATTCAGATTTTTAATTATTAATTAAGATGCTAAACTGGAAGATTCATAAGAATTTTATTAATTTATTTTTAGGAAGGATTCTGTTGGTTTTAACTAGAGTTTTCAGTTAATTTGTTTTTATTTAATGATGCTGCAAGATTAAAAGTGTATTTGGACTGTTTTTGCCTAATTCGTGTTAAAATAATTGTCTATGTATAATTCATCTCTGTTAATATTAATCTCTCTATAGAATCCACTTGAAGATTCATCTAAGGTAAAATGATAAAAGTTAAATTATTAAAATGATATGGGGAATGGGTACTAGAATACTTTATATCTTACTCTTTGTAGAACTAGACCAATAACTTGTTAACGATTCAGCTATCAAATAAGTCCAGTGGTTGGTTAGAGACAGGAATAAATATGAAGAGGTCTGACTCTGTATATTAGAGCTATCATCATTGTCTTCACATACTTGGCACAGGATTTTTGTGAGATGAAATCCTTAACAACTTGTTAAAATTAGACAAATGCACAAAGTATGGCTTACAAAATTATTTGGGTGACTCAATACTTGAATTGATCAAGGAGTTGCTTATCGTTTCTTTATTGGAAACCGTGGTCTTAAACTTTAGAGTTCTTTTCTTAGTAATCATATTAATAATTTCAAAACTGATACATTAATGAAACTGGGAAGAGACTCATTATGTTGTCTACCTATAATGGACAGATCATTAAAAGTGCATTTGTTTACTGAAAACATTGATAACATGTCATGGAGGACTTCCTGCTGCATAATAATAACCTAATTGGACATATGCTTTTTTATTAATATCCCTTGTCAAATTTTTCTTTTCTTATAATCTGGACTCTCAGATATGAACAGTAACCTCTTCATGTGCATTTATAGGATCAAATAAAGAATTCCTATTTGTTATAATTAACATACTTAACAGAGGTTATAAAGTTAAGGAGTGTCTGGAGATAAACCTGGCTGTTGCCTTATTAGTGAACTCTAGTTTTGTTACTGCTCTTGTTCCTAAGTGGTCTTTTAAATTAGTTTTTGTTTCTAGCCCTACATTAGTTGCTAAAATGTTTTTCTCTGCTTTAAAATTGATTATTATTAGAATCTCAATTACAACGGTAAAAAGAACAAATTTAATGAATGATAGCTACCGTATTATATGAACTTCATGCCTACTAACTACGAATTGAAAGTTCGAATCTTACTGTGTTGCGTATTGTTTTGATGTTGATGATTTTTACATCATGTAGGAAAGTGAATGTTTTTATAAAATATTCGATTTAGTGCCCACCTGTTGTAGGAACTAACCAACATATCTTATATATATATAAGATCATATAACAATCATATAACATATCTTATATATATATATATATCTTATATATATATATATATAAAATTAGTAAATCATGTGTTAGTAATGAACAATAATCATATTTTAGTGAAAAAAATCCTGTATCCTTACGTTCCATGAGAATTTTTTCAGGATTCATGTTATTTTTATAGAAATGCTGTATGTCAAAATTTTGAAATTTATTTCTTGAAATTGTATTATTTTGTAATAATAATAATAATAATAAAAGGATTAGCGAACCCAAAGGTTCGATGCCGACACCACCAATCGCTTATTATACACCTCCCTCCACTGTTCGCCGTCCAAACCCAGTCCCTTCAGATCAGCTTTAATGCAATCTTCCCACCTTTGCTTCGGTCTACCTCTCGGACGCTTACCATTCGGCACAGCAAATATTAACCTTTTAAGAATTCTCTCGTTACTAAGCCCAACAACTTTACAAGCCCATTTGATTCGCCGCGATGAAATTACCTCAATTATATTACCCGGATACAGTTCACGCGATTCGGCATATATTATTTTGTAAATCTATTAATTCCATTTGTAACTCAACTGGAACTGTTTTCAGATCTACAATTAATAGTTAAGAAAAATGTTAAAACTAAGTACTTTTTTTTCATATTTTATTATTAATTGCTATAAGTGTTGGGTATGTTATTGAAAATTAAAAGTTAGAAATTTTGAAGGATCGCAAAAATAAGTATGAATGGCTGTAGTTTGGTATAGTAGGCTATAGTATCATCAGTGGTCCAAATTCAACTGCAATACCAATAAAAGATATGTGGATAAAAAATCAAACCTTATCACATTGATGCATAGCAGTAGCTGATCCAGAATTAAAAATTTGTTTTGTTCTTTTATTATTTATTTTATTTTTTTATGTTTATTACACTGGAAGAAAAAGACAGAAACTATGTAAAATAATGTTTAAGTGAACCTTGAAGGCCTGTAAAATAGAAACAATAATAAAATAAATTTTAAAAACTATGTTTACAGGAGCAATAATGCTTTTAGGGATATTTTTTTTCTTGACTCATGCTTCTATTGAGTAGCTGAAATGCATGAAACATAATTTAAACAGAAGAAATATTTTTAAGTATGGCACATACTTGGCTCGGATCACTCACAGAAACAAATATAGATAAATGAAAAAAATATTATCTTTCCATTAAGAAAGGAGTTCTTTGGACAGCGATGCATAATGGAAATCATCAACATTAAAATTTTAACTTGTCATTTCATTACCTACATATATACATATATATATATACACACACACACATATATATATATATATATATATATATATATATATATATATATATATATACATATACATATAATTTATACATATATTTATAAAAACAAATAATGGGAGATCATTTGACACAAAAATCATGCACAGGACCAACTATTATATATATATATATATATATATATATATATATATAATCTAAGGATTTATTTAGTTATTTAGTTTAATATTGCAAAACTTCCTGCTTGATAGTTGGTCCTGTGCATGATTTTTGTGTCAAATGATCTCCCATTATTTGTTTTTTTTTGTACATTACTGAACTATATTTGCACAGTTCTAACTGTAGTTTTTATTCTTAATTTCTAGTTTTGTTCCTCCCTGCTGAAGTTTAATTCCTTATCACAAATCATTCTTGTCTTTGTAGAGATGCCGTAATAGCTTAGAACTTAATCAATTATTTAATCCTTCTTCACTGTTTTAAGCTTTGATCTTAGACCATTCGTTTAAAAAAAATCTCTTGTAGTTTTTGGAGTACCTGTCGGAGAATGAGCCTCACAAAAATATTTAAGTAATAATTAGCTACTGCTATATATTACTTTTCATTTATTAAAGATCCTGCTGAGTGAATTCCTACTGAGGTTGTTTCACTTGAGTTCCTTATTTCCAAGTACATGTTTAAAAATGTTGTTCAAAGAGGCTGTATATTTCTTTAGTCGACATATTTGAGATTCAGAAATATTTTTTGTTATTTTATTTATTACTTCTTTTGTTAAAAAGTAGAAAATACAATTACAACCTTTGACCTTAAAATAAGTTATTTATCTCATTTTCTGATTTCAGGGTTCTCCTCTAAGCAGAGCTGACCTAAGGGCAGTTAATGTTAACTTATGTGATATGTGTGTAATACTATCAGCAAAAGTGCCTAGTAATGATGATCCTACATTAGCAGATAAGGAAGCAATTCTTGCTTCACTAAATATTAAAGCAATGACTTTTGATGATACAATAGGTGTCTTGAATCAAGGTGCTTTCTTACATCAGTATTCGTTTGGTATAAAATATTTTTTATTTTATTGTTTGTTATCTCACAAGAATTGAGAGGAAATATTTTTGTGTTTCGGACTAATGGTACTTTTTATTTTTGAATTAAAAATATTAAAATGAATGTCTAACACTATCCAAAGACAATGTAAGTCACGGCTTCTTCATAATAGATTAAAATATTTAAAAAACTGATTGCTGATGGGTCATTTTCAAAATAACTGCAATTTTACATAGGTCATAAATTCATTTATTAGTTCAATTTTGTCAACGGCCTAACTTGGCAGCCATAGGTCTTCACTGGAAGGATGCAACTATCAAAAATCTGCCGTTCAATGTTAATACTTATGTCTCCTTCACTATGCACTTAAGCGACCAAAATTTGTTCCAACTGAATGCGATTCTCCTCTGGACTTCTTTCGTTGTTTTATCTGAAAAGGATTCCAGCTGGCCTAAATACACACATTTGTCTTCATAGTTTAATGTGTAATTATTTATTTGTATACCGTCTTTATCCTATATGTCATTATTTTGTTTTATAGCAGCTTGGATAGAGATCAACATTTTCTCAGAAGCTTATAAGTTGCTTTAGCATTTCCTTTAATTGTTGACTGTCTTTAAATACCATAGTCCTATTTCTAATAATAAAAAATAATAAAAACACATTGTGGTAACTTTGCATTACTACATTTTAGTTCAATTATCCGAGTTAAAGAGGTTTTTTTGTATTGTTTTAGTTTATAAGACATATTTCAGTTTTGTTACAGTAAGTTTAGGAACAGGAAAAGAACTTATCAAGAAAATGTATTTGTATATATTTTATTATACTGTTTGACTATTAGTAGAATTTTGTTTTATAGTGTCAGTTTGTTTTAATGACTTTTCTTTTATTTTTAAGTAATCTCCCATGGAAAATTGAATAAAATGAACTGAAATCTGTGGACTGTAATTTTGCATAAAGTTTGAAAATTAACCCAATTCAACAATTTTTTAAAATAAATATTATTCAATATTTGATTTTATCTTTGTTTCTTGCACTTATAACTTATAATTAGTTCATATAACTTATAAGTAATTAGTTTTTTGTTATTAATTATCACAATTAACTATTTAGATTGGTTGATTTTGTTGTATTAACATTTTTGTTTTGCTACTAAGGTGTAAAAGGCACATGCTTCAATGATTCCACTTATTGTGCATATTATGGTTTGATTTGGCAAAGGAAGTCATATTGAAATATTTGCTTGAAATCTTTTTCTTTTAATGTTTGTTTCTTTTTCTTCCATTTTGATTTGTTGGCATTAACTGAGAACAATTTTGCACTTTTATATTATAGCTGATTATTAGTAATTGCTGATTAATTTAGTAAACATTAATGTTTATTATTTTTGTATTTGATGCCTTCAAATATTTATTTTTGGTACCTGATGGAGTTAGAAGATGTAGATTTTCAAATAATTATATCATTTGTGTATTATTACCTTGGTAACCAGGCTTTCGAAAAAAAAAAAGAGGTTTTTAGGCTAACCAACTATTATGCTGTTTTATCAAAATAAGTGTATGTATATTATGTGACCATTAAATGTATGCTATCCCACCCCAAAATAATAAAATTCAAATATAATTCTTGGGTACCAAATTAGTACCTTCTCTTATAAGTCACAGAGGAGTAGTTAATTTAGACATTCACGACTATTAAAACTTATGAAGAAATAGTCTGAAACATTAATGTTTTGGAAACTCTGGTATTTGAATTATGTAATCATTTTAGTAATATTTACTTACTTTTGTTGCTTATTTTGGATTGATGTCTGGTTTACTCTTAATTGTTTTGTTAAGTATGTAGGACCAGTTTAAATGGTCAAGAGAAAATAAAAATATAAAATAAACACCAAAGTAATTTCATAAAATTTGGAAATAAGTCAAGAATTTTTTAGGGTTGGAAATAAGTTAGTAATTCACAGTTAATTTTACAGAACATGGAAGTCATCATTAGCTTTAATCTTTAATATCTTGCTTCAGTTTTCATAAATGAGATTATGAATAAGAATGAGAATAGTTAATTAATGAGTATAAATAGTTTATCCCAACAGAAATTACAAATTCTTAAAAAAATATAATTGTAATTTGTGATTTAAAGAAATTGTATTTAGTGGTTCAGTTTTATTGTTTTTAGTCACAATTTATTTCTTGTATAGAGCAATGCTTTATTTTCAACCTTTCTTAATACATTAAGTTACTATATACCAAAGATGGCCATATTTATATTCATAGACATAAATACGAAATCCATTTATAATTATCGTACTCTCTCTCTGTCTCTCTCACACTCTCTCTCTCTCTCTCTCTCTCTCTCTCTATATATATATATATATATATATATATATATATCCAAAAAGAGAAATATGAATATAGATAATTCATATTTACAGGCATCATTTTTATATTTAAATTATATTTATGGTTTTATTTACACTTCTAAAAGTGAATACTGCTGTACTCATAGCTATAAAAATGCATATGCTTGTATTGAAATACAGAGGTTTTGAAAAAATTTGGGCTTAAAACTCCAACAAAACATTTTTAAAACGTCTTTTAATTTATCCACTAAAAGGTATATAGCGATTTATTGAGCGAAAGGCTTAACCAATGTTCAAGTTCATAGTTATTCAAGTCAATCTTTTGAATGTTTTTTAAAACAATTTGAGCTTAAAGTACTGAAACAAATATACAAATGCAAGCATATTCACTTTTATAAGCTTAAATACAGCCGTATTCACTTTTACACAAGTTAATACAGCTATATTTATATTTACAGGTGTGAATAAGGCCATATTTATATTTACAGCTGTGAATACGAGTGATTATATTTACATTTCTTTTTTTAATATAAATATATTCAAAGAGTGCCATAATTATATGTGCATTTCGTATTTATAAATATGTCCATCTATGCTATGTACATAGCTTACTTTTCAATATATTATATATTACATTATAATTAATAAAATGCAGTTGCTATTATTTTATATTATTTTATTTTTTACTTTTAACTAGATGAATCAGGCGTTGTATCAGCCAATGAAACTTTAACCTCTGTCAGTGGTCCTATTGTTCTTCAGAGGAGGGGGTCTGTTTATGGAGCCAATGTGCCTATGATAACAGGTAAAAAATTTCAGTGATCAGATTTTATTAGGTATTGCTAAATTCATTACAAATTAAGTAAGTTTTTTTTGCCCCAAAACAGCTATTTATGATAATTAACCTCATAGGTTAGTTTATTTTAGTGATTCAAAAAAGTTCTAATTTAACTCTTAATATAATTTTATTTGTGTTTTAAAAGTTTTTGGTTTTGTGTTTAATAAAAGAGCTGAAAGCAAAACAAAAGACAACAGTGGAGTGGATTCCACCGCCCACAATGGTGTAATCACCTCAATATGATGTAAGCGAAATGGACTTCAATAATAGTGAAATGAACAATTCCAAAAACGAAATGAAAAATGAAAAGAAAAATCCCACATTTTCTTATTAATGGAATTGATAATTATGAAGCATTAATTTCTTTGCTTGAAAATGAAGCCAGTCCAAATACAATCAAGATCAAATCTACTATTAAAAGTATTCCTATATTTCCTCCAGATGTTATAGAAAATCCTGACCATCAATTGGAGTTTTGAAAATTACACTCAACAAAACAACGATGCAGGATAACTGACTACATTTGACAGCACTAGAGAGGAAATTATATGCAACCGGAGTATTTCTGGATGTCACATGAACGTTTATCAAAGTCTGACATCATGGGCTTCTCTGCAGCTTAAAACCATTCTCCCACATACCTACTACTTCATTATTTTCTATCTGACAGATTTTTCTCTGTACGACATGGTTCAGTTCTATTCTCAATTTGGTGAATTTTAATAGGTGTACCTTAGAGATCAATTCTAGTACCATTACTGTACTTCACATACAGACATGATATTCCTCAAAGTTTCACACCGTTAGAGGATGGAATGGCCAAGCTCCTTGGGACATGGGGTTGCCCGGCAACCTGATAACCAAAGCTATAGACCGAAAAATAATTACGAGTTCAAATTCCAGAGGCCGGTGGGACTTTGAGCCGATGGGAGGAAAAATCCCATGTAGCCTAAAAGGCATCTCAGTGGCCCCAAAAAATGAATTTTGACATTCATACTTCCTTAAATAAACGGTGGTAACCTCAATGTAGCCATCAGGGAAATTGTAAAAAGGACTATATGCCTTATTTGTCAGACTAGTTCTCCTCACCTGGACCAATATCCACATCCTTACAGACTTAATAACCAAGTTGTTGATTATCAAGGAAAACTCGTAAGCTAACCATCCACATCCTTATGCATATGCATCTGCGATCCATATCCATATGCAGTCGACATTACTGTCATTACTAGACACAAAAATCTTAAACAGGCATCAATTAATCCACAACGCTACTAACAAAAAGCACACAATTGGTGTAAACTTTGCAAAATTCAAATAAATTATCAAAAATCACAGCTCATGACTTTTACTCTAAGACTAGAAATATCACCTCCTGTATACTTTGACAACATATCAATCCCACAAACAGACAGTACAATACATAGGCCTTACATTTGATAAGAGAATGACATGGAGTCCATATGTAAAGAAAAAATATGCCATAGTATACTGTAGTAGACATCCCCCCGTATTTACTCCTTTAGTTGACATTGTGTGAGGGAATGAGAAGGAATATATAGGAATGTGAGGTTGCACTGTGAATTGTACTCAATTGTGGACAAATTATTCATTGAAAGGTCTCATATCGATAAATCTTTATCATTACATATTCGATGAAGAAGGAAGAAGGTTGGAGGTACCGAAAGGATCCAGCAGGTAAAAAAAGCTGGAGAAGGCATTCTAGGCCGGAACAGGTAGAAAGGAGGTTGTCAGAAGAGAGGAGAAATTGCTTGAGGCAGAAGGACATACCTGGGAAGAGAGTCTACTACAAGATTTAGAAGATCAAGTCTATAGTTACAACACTTTAATAGAGCCAATTTATTACAGTTATAGAAATAAATTATTTTGTTATAAAGGAGTGAAAAGTCATTTATTTATTTAGTTGTCCTATATACCTCACGATTGAAGAATAACAAACCAGGTGAGTCAATTCATTCAAAATGTATTTACTAAGTCCCACATTTCAAATATATATTCTTATTGTTTCTTCTCACTCAATGTCACAAAAGGTATTAGATTCCCGAATTCCCAACGACAGTTAAACACCCTCAAAAAAGTCTATATCCAGTGCCGAGGATTTGTTTTAATATTCACGAGTGTAAATAATCTAGTTCCCCGATATAAAAGTAGAAGGCTATTCGCCTATTCCCGCCAAACAAATCATTTAACAATTAACTTTATTAGGTTATTTACAATACTTAAGACTGAAATTACTGCACTCACTGTTAAAAAGACATTCAAAATTAAAATCAAGACAAAAACTAAGTATTTACATATAGCTATTAAAACCCATTTGGACTTAGGGACTACAAATATGCGATATTGCTAAATTAACTCAAATAAAAAGACTTCAAACTTTTCTTCAGTCTAAGATTCTACGAATAATTACTCAAGTACCCTGGTATAATAACACTTAACTTACTAAATTATACGTTATGACAGTCAATGAGCGCCTAAAAAATTACTAATAAGTAAACGAATGACAGGAAAGGGGTACAGCTGGGCACTGCTTTCCTCTTGCCTGTCAATTAATTCAGTCCTCTTTTATTTTATTTTTTTTTTATCTGATAATTATGCCAACTCATCTGTTGATTGTTTATTATAGTAATTAAGAGGTCAAAAAATACAAAGTGAAAAGAAAAATTAAATACAAATGTTTTATTTCATTTTTTTGTGTGTTTCAGAACTAGTAAATGATAGTAATGTACAGTTTCTTGATCAGGATGATGATGATGACCCCGATACTGAACTGTATCTAACTCAACCTTTTGCTTGCGGGACAGCATTCGCTGTTAGTGTGTTGGATTCTCTTATGTCCACGGTAATGACTTATATTTCTAAACATATGTTTTCATTTACATCTCGAGATAAAAATACAAAAATTATGTAAGCCAAAAGGATCTGAAGTAGAATAGTAAATAGAAGAGAATTTGCTTGGTGTGTTCAGTCAAAAATACAAATTAAAAATAAATAAATGATATTTAGTTTTGCCAACGTGACGGCCCAAAGTGGCACTACAGTCAACCATATATCCACTATTGGGGATAGTAAATAATTTTCATAAATAATATCAAATAAAAGAAAAAGATACAAAAACAAAAAAAGGAAAGAGGAATTTAGTATGCCACGTATGCGTCTCTATATTATATACTCCATCTTAGCCAGTATTTGGCGACCCAATGTGCTCCAGCAGAAACTCCCAGCAACTTATACGAACTCCTAACTGCTACCTCCAAGATTGAAGATTAAAAGCAGTAGAATCTTCCACAGAGAGAGGATGCCCTCAAGGATCAGTCCTTCGTCCAGTTCTAAGGAAGCAGGTTTTCTATGAGTTGCCGAGAGAGCTGGAAAAATAGCTGTTCTCTGCCACTGCTTACATTGATGACTTAGCAGCTGTGGTGGCATCCAACATTATAGCTGGAATAAAATGAGGAGTGACAATGGCTCTGCGGGGGGTCACCAGAGTTTATAAGACGTCACAAGAAGCAGAACAAGTCAGCAGGGATGGTACCTCTTGACCTTCTGTGTGCAGAAGTTACAAAATATTTGTATAAAAGAGGAAGCTCTACAAGACTTCTGGAAAATCTTCTGGTAAGGATTATGGATGTGTCTAATCGATGGAAGAAAATAATCTAGGCAGACACAATTGAGGCATGGAACCAGCGGTGGGGATTTATCCTTAAAGATAGTACATTAAAGAAATACCTCCCCATGGTACAGTTGAGGCTAAAGGCAAAGTTGGTTCTCCCGAACTATTGGATTTTGCAATTTCTCACTGGCCGTGGAGGATTTTGAGCCAAGTTTCACAGACTTGGCATCAATGTAGATCCTCTATGTCCAATCTGTGGTGTTGTGGAAATTGTGGAGCAGGAGGTCACGACTTTGCACCGCATTTGAGGCTAAAGTGCCACATTAATGAGAGCCATGGGAATCTATGTCCTCAAGAAAAATGAGATTGACAGTTAACATTGGCAAACGAAGGATACCTACATATTATTTAAATATATTTAAGTCAATTTTCTTTCATAAATAAATTCAGTTATAAAATAGTGGATTGATAGTGGACGCCCTGGGTATATTGAAGAAAAATTAATTATAAATTATGCATTTTTAATATTTGTGTCCACAGAAACATTGGTCAGGGAAAGTTATCATTAAATAGGGAAAAATCAGGGAATTTTACTTTGACTGTTGGATAGTTACCCCGAATAAATATTCTCATTAAAAGAATCCTAATCAATTATTCCCAAAGAAATTATTTTATAAAAATGTATAGCCATGCAAGAGATAACCTCATCCCATTGTAAGGCATTATCCTAATTAAGAGTCAAAGGTCTCTTTTACTTTTCTTACAGATCTCAAAGTTAATATTCTCTGAATGAACTAGTTTTAAACTTTTTTTTTCTTATTAATAAAGTAAATTTTTTCTACTAATTTTAAAAATATCATTTTTCTTTAACAGACATACTTCAATCAAAATGCATTGACTTTAATAAGGTCCTTAATAACTGGAGGAGCAACACCTGAACTGGAACTTATTTTAGCAGAGGGAGCTGGACTAAGAGGTGGATACAGGTAATTATAAAGACTTTAAGGAGTATTCGTTCTATGTTGTTCATAGTGAATTTATTAATCTTAACAACTTGAGAGGTGATTATTTTATCTATATTTATTTAACCCCTGTTCCCTTATAAGTATGGCATTTAATTTTTCTAATGACCTTTGTTTCTTTTCCTGTAAAAACGCTTATTATATTTTTAACATATTTGTAGAGTGAATATTGTTGGGAACTAAAATATAAAGTCTGGATAAGTACTGTCAACTATTGATTCAGAAACAATAGCAATGTGATTAGTTGTTATAAAATAAAAACCATATGTAACCTTGATAGAAAGGAACAGAGTGTGTGTAAATGTGAGCAATTGTCTCGATTGTAATAAAATCTGTTAAAATACTTAAGTAGGTTTTGTTTCGAGATTTAAGAGTTACCAGTATTTTAAAATTTCTTAATAGGTCAAATAAAATTTTAGAGTACATTTTTTAATTATAACAAGTGTAATATATATATACAGTAGTATGAACAAGTCTTCGAACAAACCAAATTTTTTATAAACTTGATAAATGAGTGTTTTTATTTTCTTCATTGTAAACTCATTTAATCTTGCCGACATTGTAGATGTAATACATACTTAAATTATCATTTTCAATTAACAAGAAGACAAGGAACCAATCTGTTGAGTTGACTTTTTTTTTTGAGACCACTGTTTATATCAGGATTTTGTGTTTTTTCTGTTTCTTAAGAAATGACAGCACAAGTATTATGTGTCTTTCATTTCAGATGGTAGTTTTTTTCTAAGAACTATTGTGATAAGCTTCAATTTCAGCATATGTTAGTTTATTAACTACTGTGGTAAGCTTGGATTTCAGTATATGTTTGTTTATCAGTGTGAAAACAATGTTTTTTCATGGTTCTGGAAATGTTGATTTCTACTAAGTAATGAGTATTTGCAGGAATTTTATTGCATTATTTTATTCTAAAGAAATCTTTAACTAAAGCACACAGAATTCTTGTTGCTATAATGATTGAGTTATTAAACAAAATGTTTGAGTGAGAAGAAACACTGTATTAAGACTTATTTATTCATCTCTCTAATAGGTTCATCTCGTGAACATTACAACACTTACACACACTAGACAAGATGGTCCTCACTAGCTATCTCTATCCATGTACTTCAGAGTGCAGCACAAAAGGTGTCAACATACTCCTAATTCAAATCTTAATAACAGTGAGCATGTGGAAACTGATTTTAGCACTTAAAAATGATGATTTTAATATTTGAGATCAAGAATGCTCTGGCACCCCAAAAAAGTTTGAAGATGAAGAATTGGAGAAATTTTTTAATGAAGAGACATGTCAGACGCAGGCTGAACTTTATTATTATTAAAACACTTTATTCAGAAATATTACAATTTGTCACAGTTTAAGGACACTTCTAATAGAGTTCAGAGATTGCATTCATACTGTATATACAAAAATATAAATAAATAAAGTAATAACAAAAGAATAAGAAAAAAGAACAAAAGATTAAAGAAAAAAAAAATATATATACACATAAGTAAATAAAAATAGAAATAAAAGTAAAACAAACACCTTATATAAAACATACCTATATACATTATTTACAATTTGCCAGGTGATCTCCGAACCAATCCTGTCCCCTCCACATGTGGAGGGAAAAGGGAGGCTTAGGAGATCCCTACGCTTCTCCCTCAGCCACTTCACTGGTATTTTAAACCAGCGGAGGATGAGTAAGAGCGCTACAGCCACAGACACTCATGACTTGAGTGGAGAATCTGGCCATTGCTAGAACTCCAAAATATCCATATTTACAAAAGGTCTCGTGGCCACTGCCGCTTTAACCTACAAAGGGGATTGTAGGGATGGGTGGTGCTTGATAGGGATTGTACAACGGGATTTGGGTGATGAGAAAGGTTCTGGTGAAATTTGGAAAATTTGGCTGGGATAAGATCAAGAATAAATGGGATATTAAGGTCATGGTGTAGGGTTTTATTGGTTACATAGAAGGGAGCATTGACTATTGTACGGAGGACTTTAGACTGAAAGGATTGAATGCGTTTGATGTTAGAAAATTTGGCTGTTCCCCATAGTTCTAGTCCGTAAGTCCAGATGGGTTTCAGTATTGTCTTGTAGATCAGTAATTTGTTTTCACCAGAAAGTTTAGATTTTCTATTCAGTAGTCTATATAGCTGGCCATATCGTCTGTTAAGTTCCTGTCTTTTAAGTCTAGTATGCAGGCTGAACTTAAAAATCACTATAGAAAAACAGTGGATGACACAATGGTCTTAAAATGTTTTAAAGCATTAGGAATGATTGAGAAGCAAGAACATGAGTTGAAGCCAAGGGATGTCAAACAAAGTTTTTCAAGTATGAAGTACTACTTTTACCAGCAGAAAAAGAAAAATGTTTGCATTATGTCATGACTGGTAATGAAAAATGGATAACTTTATGATAATCCTAAACTCAAAATATCATGTGGTAAATGCAGCCATGTGTCAAAATCATCGGCAAAGCCAACAAGCAGAAAAACAACAAGGTGATTTTATTACTTGACAATGTTCGGCCAAATGTTTCAAAACTGGTACAAATCTACCTTGAAATGCCATTCTTCCTGCCATTCTTACCCATCTGCCATATTCACCAGATATAGCCCCTTCCGATTATCACCATTTCGTTGGATGACACATTGGCCTGGCTGAGCAGTACTTCCACTATTATGATATATACAAAATAATAGTTGGGAGATGCTTGGATAACCTTAAAAGACAAGTTATTTTTCCAACATGAAATTCATTTTCTGTCAGAAATATGAGAGAAAGTAATGGCTAGTGATGGGTAATTCTTTGAGTAATATGTTTTTTTATCACTTACTTTAAATAAAGGATTAATTTGCATAAAACAGTAAATACTTATTCAAGGTCCTAATAATAATTTTCTATATAAATATTATCAGGGGTGCTCAAAAGGGAGTTTCATGGCACAAGTTGTTTAATCAAAATATTTTAGGGGGCATATCTTTATGGTAGGAAGTGGGGTAGCTCAGTGGTTTGGTGCTGAACTTCCAATGCTCCAGGTCCCAGGTTCGAATCCCGTCTCATGGCAGAAAAATTATTTATTCTGATTCATTGGATGAGGGGCAAATCCATACCCACCCTCTATAAAGTGGGTACCCTTAATTAAATAATTAATTAAGTAAGAATATCTAGCGGTTGAATCACCTGCTTGTACAACCATTGACCATGAAACAGTTCTCTAAATAGTACTGAACCCAAGACCCTCCATGGGTCGTAATGGTATAGGTTTTTTTTTCTTTATGGTATTTTAAATTTTTAAGGAGAGTAAATTTTAATTGGGTTACAAATTTTTGGAAGAAACCAAATTTTTGGTAGGGTTTATTTGGAAAAAACTTTCAGAGCAGGAAACAATAAAGAGAAAAAGAAACAAAGGGCAACTATTGTACATACACACCCAGCTATTGCAACTGTATATGGTCTACAATTTTTTCAATACTATTTTTGCCTGCATTGTTTAAAAAAAAATGATAGCAATAAAATTTCTTGGGAAAAGAGGGGGAAGGAGGAGGGAATGCACCATCGACCTAGAGAGAACGGGCATCCCTGAACATTGTACTGTTTTAAAACTATGCTTTTTTTTGTCATACATTTTTAGCTTTATTTTGCCATATTTATGACTATCATTTAATTAATTTTTTTTTTTTTAATTTTCAGTACTTCTGATAGCTTGTCAAATCGTGACAGGTGTAGAGTTGGTCAAATTTCTCTTTATGATGGGCCTTTGGCACAGTTCGGTGAAGCAGGAAAGTATGGTGATTTGTTTGTTTCAGCTCTTAAAAGCTATGGAATGCTATGCATTGGGTTATATAGGTAAGAATGATTGAATATTTACTTTTATTCATTTTTTGTATAAAAATAGAAATAAGGTAGCTTTTTTTGTTGTCACTTTTGCCCTAAAAAATAAAATGATGAAATGGGACATAGCTGTATTTTGACAGGTCATTAAAAATTTGACACTTTGGGATAGAAGCACCAGTAGCTGACAGTGTACCAGTGCCTGACATCATCCTCTAAAATTTTGAATAATAAGAGTTCAGAACCTCCTAGACTTCTATTTTAAATATTTAGTGCCTTCTGTGTAATATCCTTGAATATTAATCTATTCTGCTTTAGCCTTAACAGGAAAAGTAATTTAAATAACAGGCATTCAGTCATGAAGTTTCCTCAGAGTTGATTAATTTCACAGGAACAGCCATCTGCCATAAGGCCAGTAAGGATACTAAAGTACAGTTTTTTTTCTTCCCTTTTAATTTTTTTGCATTATTCTCAAATTTCTGTTTTATTCCTTCTTAGAGTCCTTATAGATTATGTTTTATCTGTTTAATCCTCAAATTCGCCCTTTCTCCAGTAGCTGTCAGCCCTATCAGCTCCCTGGGAGATTCTTTTTTTTTTAAATTAAGTTAGATAGCAGCCTAATTTTGATCACATAGTGGACTTTTAATTTTATGATAAGTTTAACATTAATTTTGTTTAGTATCTATTATAAAATAAATAATAAGAATATAAAGTTTTAACAGATTATTTTGCGTGATTACTTCCTTGCCTTCATCTGTGTCAACTATAGGAACATCCCAACTCCAATGGTGTCAGCTATAGGTGCAACAAAGCTTTTCTATTAATTCTTATTTTCTCTCCCCCCCCTTTAGATAGACCTATCTTCCATTTTAATAACAGTTTGCAAGCTGGGAAGTAGTTCTATAAGATAAACCCAAGAAAAATAAAATATTATCATAATTAAAATTGTTACTCGTATAAATTCAAAGCAATTTCCTTAAGCATAGCAGCTACTGGTGTTTTTATCCTAAAATCATGTTTAAAAATTGTAAATTTGTAAATAACCTTCCATTTGTGAGGAGTCTTGGTTATTTACACTCGTAAATTTTAATTTTTAAACACAAAACTCCGGCTCTGGATGAAATTTTTGAGGGTGGTTACAGCTGTTGTGAATTCGGGAACCTAATTCTTTTGTGACATTGAGTGATAAGAAATAACAAGAATATATATGAAATATTGGTCTGAGCACATACACTTTAAATGAATTGACTCACCTGGTTTTATTTGTTGTTCTTCAGTGGTACAAAGAGGACAACTAAATAAAAAGGAATATTCACTTCTGTATAACAAAGATAATTTATATTAACAAACTATAATAATTGAATCTATTAAAAAGTCATGTAACAGTATACTTGATCTTCTTCTTCTCAAGCTTCAGTAAAGGATGCTTCTCTCATGCTGTCACATACTTGTGTCTTCCAGTCATAGCCTCAAGAGTCCTTCCTTTGTTATTATCTCTCTCAGAATACCTCTCCACCTGCTGGACACTTTTCCAGGCCTCTTCCTTTCTATATTCTTCTGCGCAATTGAGTCCCATTCATAGTTTGCGCATTCCATCCCTATACATTTATTATCCCTCTCTCACTCAGCGTGACTTATAAGAGTAGGTAGAGGTCATCTGCTACAAATTGGTCTATAGTTAAATTCAGGAGATTTATTTTTTTTCTGGAATATTTAAACAAATAGAATTTTATTTTTATTTATTTTTGCTGTTGACATTACAGATCTGATAGACCTTTTACTGCCTTTAATCAGCCTTCTCCATCTCTGTCTATCTTAGACTATTTCTTTCCACTTATTGTCATGCAGGTCTATTGAAGATTTGATCTATCCATCTGGATTTTGGCCTTCCTTGTGGTCTCTTGTCTATTATTGCTGAAAACATAATTACATACCTAAAAGACAAGTTTAGTAGAATAAATGATTAAAATAGGTTGTTCAGAGACATCCTGATAAATTGTTTTGAGCTACATGCCTTGCTCTAAAATCTATTATGATGGAATATTACTTATATAAATCACTTCTATAGTTCTATCAACATGATGGACCCGTGGATAATTGACTTCTGTAGAGTAGAATATGGAGCCATAGGAGAATCCCATCTGCAGTTTACTGGTTACTGCTAAGGTTTTCTTCATGTAGTTCTTCTTAATGAATTGTCCGTGGTACAGACCCCTTTTTATCAAATTATTAACACCCAGCTAAAACTTTGTAAATAGCTATATCTCATTGTAACTTGCAAATATTTTATTTATGAAAATTCTTGGAATTGGGGCGCTTTTAATCTAGATGTCTGCAAACTTTGTCTATTTAATTAGGTACTAAAAACTCATATATACCCATTTGCTTTCCAATTGGATCGTAAGATAACTTGAGCACAAAGTCGAGAAAAAAGGTGGCCTTCAAAAATATTGAGCCGTTTGTCGTGACCTCCATCTCCAAGTTGTCAAAATAACAAGATTATATAGCCCGAATCTTTCAATATTTTTTTAGGCCACCTTTTTTATCGATTTTGTGATCAAATTATCTTACGATCCAAATAGAAATCAAATGGATATTTATGAGTTTTTAGTACCTAATTAAATTGACAAAGTTTGCCGACCTCCATATTTAAACTGCCCTAAAATTCTGGAAATTTACATAAATGAAATATTTGTTGGCTTCGATGAGATGAAGCTATTTACGAAGTTTCAGGCAGATGTTAAAGTGGGTGATTGTAGTGTTGTAATATAGAACTGTGAATAAAGGTATAAACATTTCCACTAGAAATATCACTAAAATTGATAATGAAAAATGTTGAAATTGGTGTTAGTCATTCTGTCAACTGAAAGGCTCAATCAATACTGAATATCCTATGATATAAATTTGTATTTATTCATTAATTTACTGATCAGCATTTTAAAATTAATAACATCTTAAATTTTCTTTGATTATTTGGCAATAATTATGAAACATAATTCTCTTCAGGTTCCGTGATACTAGTTCGTCGTGTGATGCCTCTTCAAAACGCTATGTGATAACTAATCCACCAGATGATTTTTCATTACTTCCTACAGATCAAGTAAGTAATCTAACCTTATATTTATATTTAGAGTGATATTTCTTTTTTCTAATTTGTCAATTCGCTACATCTAACATATTCAGAGTCATATTAATTATATTCCTTCATATTGTTTTATTGGGGGCTGGAGTAGCCGTGCGGGCTAGGGTTCTTGCTATAGGTAATCAAAGTTAAGCAACGTCGAGCGTGGTTAGTACTTGGATGAGTGACCGTCCGATTTGGTTGACCGTTCACCAGGAAAAGCCATGCTGCCCGAGTCTCTCCCCCTCACGGGTATGTGAGGCCCGTCAGCCTACTGGAGGCACCTCACACCGATCAGGGGTAGGACTGATGACCCTACCCCGTGTACATAAATCAGGAATCTGGATGTGGTTTACCAGGATGTTAGTTAGTTAGTTAGTTTACCCCTGAGGTTCGATCTATGGACGGTCTGTCTCGGGGAAAGAAATATAGTTCCTCATGCGCCTGCTGACTCCAAGCAGCCATAATCCATGTATCCCGACTGATTTGTCACTGTCCTTAAACCCGAGTGAGTCGGTGGGAAGGACACTTGCAGATTGGCCACAAAGGGATCGGCTATGGAGCTACGGGTGGTCTGCCGCTTCACCATGGAGACCATGGTTTGTATCAACGTGAGGTTGGGTGACCCCCTTCAGGCTATCTGAGCTCCCACAAGCAACACACGTCTGTAAGGAGACCACATGTCGCGGCCAAAGATCTTCATGGTCTGAAGTGGCAACCGAAAAAAAAAAATATTTTTTTTTCAAAATAAAAATTTGAAAAACAAATACCAAGTGATGAATAGTCATAAAGTAGTGGTCTCCAAAATTTTTAGCCCATGGATCACAAATAGTGGATCAGGAATTTTCTGAAAATAGGTCATTTATATACCAGCTGAATTTCATACACCAAATTAAAGTGAATTGCTAAAACTAAAGGTGAAATACATTGAAACTAAAGGTGATCACCAATATCCTTCTCTTGTAAAAACTAATAGTTTTAATAAAAATAAAAATAATAAAAACATTAAAGTAATTTAACACTTTCAGTGCTGGTAACATTTTTTTCCCCCTTCTTTGCCTTTTAGACTACACTGTTTTTTTCTGGGCCGGGGGAGAGAGCGGGGAAATTATGCCGTGTTAAATTGCCAAACTACCGGACACTGGGATTTGAACTTGTATTTAACTGTTTATCTCAAATCTTGGTTATCAGGTTGCTGGGCAATGCATGGTGGGCATGTGCACACTCTTTAGCCCGCTTGGTCTCCCCGCCTCCTCAGTGCTGGTAACATGCCCTGATGATGACCCACATACTTGGTCATTGAAACATTGACAACAATAAAAATCTTAAAATGATTATGTCTTGATTATTTATCCCCCCTATAATAAAATTTTTTTTAAAATTTATTTCTTATAAGACTTCAAATCTAAAAGTTATTGATATGGTTTGGAATGTCATTAACTCAGCTTTTCACCAGTTTTACTAATGTATAATTAAAAGAAAATCTTGAGGAGCTGTGAATGCTTTATTGTATGGCATTGAAAATATTGAAAATAATCCTCCCATAAAATCAAGCCAAAGCTTTATATTTCTTTATTTTCAAACAAATTCGTAGTTTTTAAATAATTTTAATAGCTTTTCCAAGGCTAAAATTTACTTGGCCTACTTTACTAGAAGCTTCTTTTGTATTTTGTAATTTATTCTACGTTTTAATTCATTTTATACAATCAGCAATGTATTTTTTTCTACACCTAAAAATAAACAGATGATATATTATAATCTAGAAACCCTTGCAGAGCAAAAGGAGGAAACAGTAATATAAAAGAATTTTAACATTTTATAATATAAATTTTTATATTTCTGAAAGATATAATTAAATAAATTCAATTATAATTTCTAGCTTTAAAAATGAGAAAATATAATAATATTTCTAACAAGAAATAATCTCTATTTTCTGTCCATGTTTATTATTCTTATGGAATTTTGTCTCAGAATAAAGTTATTTTACTATTCTATTCTATTTTTTTTCTGATGCAGGTGTTTGTCTTAATGCAATTTGACCCTGGAATGGAATATAAGCCCAACAGAGGTCAGAAAGGAAAAGACGATAATTCCTGACTATTGCTCTGTAGCGCTCTCACTGATGGACCTTATTCATACATATAGATTGTTTATTTATCACATACTAATATGTTGCATGAAAACCATTAAGTATGCTTTATTTCATTTCAATATATTCTAAAATTGTTTAAACTAAATATCCTATTTTTTTTATTACCTATTTTATAAACTTTAATATATTTTTTTAATAAAAGAACTTTACTTTTCTTAAACTTGAAATTACTTTTAAGCAGAAAAGCAAAAAAAAAATATTAGGGACTAACTAGTAAATAATTTCATAAATTAATTGTAATATGTATTATTTTTTTTTATTTTAAGCACACTTCTGCACTGTTCTAAGTATTATGGTTACTTAAGTTTGTGTTATATTTTGCACTCGCCACATCTTTCATTATGAATCTATCATAGTTATTTCGCACATTGGTTTGAATTCTTTTGTCACTATTAAAACAGATCAATCTTTATTGTCATATTATTTTTTTAGAATGATAAATAAAAAATAAAGAAATAAATAAAAGTAATGAAAAACAAAGGCTAACTATATTAATCCAAATACTAATATCTCTTGGTCTTCCCAGAGTTAATGATTCTATTGCTCCTTATTTCATTTTATGAATCTCCAATGGCTACTTATTTAAGATCATGATACTCAGATAATTTCTATAATTTAATTTACTTCTTATCTAAACCACCATATGTTAATATAAATTAATTTAATTTCTTAATTCAGGTATCCTTTTCTTCAAATTGAATTTTTTTTTTTTTTTCATTTGCTAGATATATCTCGTAAAAGGTAATGTAATGGATTCATTTTTATCTAGCACAATGTTATAATACATGATGTAAATATTTTTCCTTATGAGCAACCGATTGCACTCAATTTATTAATACATTTATGTCTCAAACAGAGATGATTAAGTTAAAATTGTGTGCAAAATGTGTATATATCCAATATTTGCTGGGCTGTGGACCAAATAGTTTAAAAATAGTTGTCCTGTTTTAAAATTTGTTTTTGCTTTTCTGCTTTTGTTGGTAATAATTTATCATTAAAATAAAAATCTTTATTTTCTATAATTAAAAAAATCTGAAAATTGATTTATTTTAGAAACCATTCGATTATATGAAAACACTCAAGGGCCTTTTTGCAACATTATATGTGATAGATACAATTTAAAGTGTGAGAGCTGCTACATTGTCTACTGAAACCAGAAGCACACAAAGACTTTCTGCTTTTAAAAGCATTTATAAATAAATTGGTTTATATTAAATTTATATACTGCAAGTCATAACTGTATAAATAAAAAATCCACCGTATTTCTACTTCAATACTAAAAAAAGTTATAAATAAAAAATATTTTATAATGTTTGTAAATACGTTGTTCTTTGTATATGCGGTGAAAGCTATATAATTTCTTATGTGTTTATAAATAATTTGGATGCTGAAAATGTATGAGAAACTCTTGTTTGTATTTTAAGGCAAAAAGAAATATCTTTTCCTGTTAAGTATTGAATAAATTTAAGATCAAGTAAAGAAATCATTTCTGTTTCATAAAAGAGTTTCCCATTATATGTCACATCTGCTAATTTTGTTTGTAAGCACCTGTTGCTAAATATCAATAATGGCCTAAGTGTTAAGTACTTGTTTGTACTGTTTGCATATAGCGTGTTTTAATGAACTTGCCTTTACCCACAATCAAGCAGTGTTTTAAGAATATTGAATGTATAACTGAATTTATAGATCATATTATATATATATATATATATATATATATATATATATATACATACATATAATATGATGTATAATGTCATCAGCGAATAAGTATATATATTTATATATACATATATATATATATATGTTTGTGAATATGTATATACTTATTAATAGTTGTTGCTTTGCTGACAACAATTATTTGCTTACTGTTAAGGAACACGTAAGGCTGCCACTAAATCATTTGTGTTATATTATTTTATTTTCTCGTTTATTAATATCTGAACCAATGAAATTAAATCTTTTATAGTTTATTCAAAACTTTAAGCAAAATAACATAAATTTATTTCATAAGACAGTCATTCTTGCAATTGGTACAATGTGTTTTAAGTTTTCATGTATCCTTGAAATTTTCCTTTTTACAAAACATTAGAATAAATTGTTGTGGCTTTATTTTCAACTGAGAAAAGGTAGTAGGTATGGTAAGTGTTCTTTCACATTCTATATAACACCAACACTTGGTGTGAGAGAATGGTGATCATTGCTTCATTTATTTAATATTCTCTTATAATCTCTTCTCATCTTCTCAAAACGCATTAAGTTCTTAATAATTGCAAATTCATTAAATTTGCGATCACTTATTTTGTCTTTCCTAAAATTACCAATACTTATATATTGAAAATTATATAACATTCGATTTTCTAATTTAATTTTTTTTTAAATTATTTTCCTAAATATTTTCAGTTATTTTCCTGTTGCTTGCTATGACAAAATCAAAGTTAAACTTTCATTAATTTTTTAAAATAATCTTTCATCACAAAGTTATCTTTTCCATCGCTGCCTTTTCTAGATAATTTAGTATTACATCGGTCTATGAATATGCATGAATGATTACAATGGTGTGTTGAATAAAAACACTTTGAGAGCCTTGCAGACAACTGCACTCACATCGAGCTTTATAGAATTATATTTAATGTAAATTTAGCTAAGTCGTTATTCCATAAATGTATAGCTTTTGTTAAATTATAAGGGAAAGTTTTTTGTAGCTGTGAAACTGAAAGAAAGAAAGAGAGACAGAAAAAAAATGAATAAGAAATTAAAGCAATATAATGTTTTTCTGTATTTGTTAAATTTAATTAGAGTTGAATTAATGTTATGTTACAAATGTTGAATGTTTTAATTATGAAGTTTATATATTGAATGGATTATAAAAATCCAAAGAGAGTTTGAATGTATTTTTTATGAAATGTGTTTAGTATAAATGTAAAATTATATAACAATGTATATGTTATAATTCTTTATTAAGTTCGTATGAAAGATTATTTCTAATGGATGATATTAAAGTTGCCTTATCAGGACATTTATTAATTTAAAAAGTGGCTTATAAATTATTTTGATTTGACATGTGCTTCTTTTAATTAAAAGAAATAAATGTTATTACTGCAAAATATTTTTTTCAAATATGAATAATATTCCATCAAATTATAATTAAATTTGAACTTTGTAAATGCTTTAATTTATTTATGTTGTTTTTTTGTCTTGGTGCTTATTATTTTATTCTATGAGATTAGTGCCATGTCAGAAGATTTCCATACTTACAGAGATGAAAATTATAGGGATATTTATATAATTAAGGTATTCATTCAGTATAATATCTAAGAATCAGTTTCAAAATAATTGTTTAATGGATAACATTTTAGAATGTTGATTTCTATAAGCTTTCACCTATAGGGTTTGGTTGCTATGGGAAAAACGTATACAAATATGGACATAAACATTATAGAAATACTCATAGATAATAAAAAATGTCAAGTCTATTTCATGATAACTACATTCTTTATATAATAACAATGGTATTTCTCAGTAGTTGTTTATTTATTGTGAATTTAATACATCATCAGTTTTCGAGATGCATATTGCTTTGTAAAAAAGAAACCTTCTGATTTGGCACTGTAAGAATCTGAAATGCAGCTGATATTTACTAAATAAGGATTTGATGTTTTGTACTTTTGCCTTATTTTTCCAGATATAATGATTATTCTCTTAAACAGACTGTAAGACTCCTGCAATAAGCAATTTTACTGTCATAAATTGGAATGCTTACAGTTCAGCACCTAAAGAAAGAAAAAAAAAAAAAGCTTGCTGTATATATGTAATTTGTTCTAACCTGTGTCTTATTCACCAAAGATTTATATATTGAATATATTGTAAAATATTTGTGTGAGTGTATTTTTCACCAAACTATGTATAAATAGAAATGTTGTACGATTTTTTAAACATTTAAGTATGCTCATATTATCTGCCATTTGATAACATTTGTTAAATTCAGAAAAAAAGGAATTTTGATTCTTAAAATTTTATTGTTAAATAAAACAAAAAAAAAAGGTCTAATTGTATTATGTAGATATTGTTGATAATGAATAGTCTAAAATCTTTGGTTTATGATTTTGATGTAATTTTTTGTTTAAGATTTAATTTTTAGTCCGGTGAATAATATTTAGAAATTATTTCTTATTATTATAAATATATATATTTTTTGTTAAGAAAATTTTTTGTACACAATATCTAACTGTTAATTGTGCTTGCCGAGTTTGGTTAAGTACATTTTTTCATAAGCCAAATGTATTCCTACTAGAATAAATAACAACAGTATTGATGGCTGTATGCTTTTGGTTGCTGTTATTATTTAAGAGGTTTTTATTATTGTTTATTATTATCGATTTTGTGGAAATATAATGATTTATTATTATGTTATTAATATAGAATGTATATGTTAATTGTAATTAATTAATCAATTTAAAATCAAATTATAGTTTTTTATCAATTTTAAAAATATACTACACACTGTACCTGTTTAGTATTTTTGAGGAACTTCCTTTGTACTCTTTTATTAATGAAAATTAAATTCAAAGAAAAACCATTTTACTAAGATAATACTTAGCTCTAACTAAAACATTAGTTTATTATTTGCACACACATTTAGTTCTGTGAGTGTAACAATGTTCAGTGCAGTATTAAATGTTTTTTATTATTTCGAATTAATATGTTTGTTTTTTAGTACAAATAGTAGAAAATAATTTTCTACATAAGTTTTGCTTAAAACCACACAATCAATTGCTATTTTCATAATATCCTCATACAGCAGTGGTAAACAATTTTCAAGAATAATTTAAATTTTATGATAAGTATTATGCACTGGGTATTGAAACAATTGTTTTGATTTTTTTTTTTTTTTTTCCGTTTCAATAGTAACTTCTGTGTGAAGTGTTGTTAACTGCTAATTGAAATAATTTTATTTTACAAAAAAAATATTTTTGGATTTTTCACAAATAAGATATTCTAATTGGAAAAATAAATTATGTATTTTTTAATGCATCCAATTGAACTGCAATATAATAATTAAAGCACAGTTCACAAGTGTGTTATTGAATTTTCCTTATGTTCATTATGTACATGTCTGAACACTGAGGGAATAAGTGTTCAGTTAAAAAATGGAACAGACTTGAATGCCTCAAGTCAAGCCTTTTCATCAAAGTTGGGATAAGTTATGAAGGCAATAGACTTTTATTTTTGCCACTTAATAAGTTCAGTAATTTTGGTGAATTATGTACATTAACAATGTGAATTATGTTCGTTATCCTGAATTTTTGAAAGTTAATTGAATTTTCTATAAAAAAAAAAAAATATTGGATCAGCATTTAGGGGTGAATCGAGCCATGTGGAGATTCCATTTTTCTCAAGGGCCCCTATATATCTTGTTTGTAATGTTATATTGTCAACCTAAAGAGAGAATATTCTGTGGAATCAATTTGGAATACTTTCTGCAATTATATTGAAACATCGCCTAGTAATGTTGAGGGAGGTAATCTGTATCTGGCAGTTTAGTCAGATTAACCTTTACAGACCACCTAGAGATCCATCCATCTAGGGTGGAAAAACTTTATAATAGAATAGTGAGCGATATTTATTTTTTCTTCAAGAAATTTACAGAAATATTATTAAGGGAATAATTAAAATCTTCAAATCAGGCTAAAATTCATTCCGAACACTGTACCATGAAGTGCAAAAATTAAAAGACTATGAAGCGGAAATATTTTATTAACCTGAGGAACCAAAAAACTTCTAACCGCCCCTGTTGGCAGGGTTGTTAACTTTTGTCTTCAAGAAAAAAGTATGAATCTTATAAACAATCTTATTGGGTACTAAGTTTGACCTTAAAGAATGAACTAAAAACTTTTGTAAAGAAAATAAAAACTGCTATTGGTGTGAGCCCATACGCAATTGCCTAATTGATAATCCGAAACAGTCAGTACAGCAAAGATATAGAGCAATGAATATTCCGACGGAAACACGTACATTTTTTTTTCCCGGTTTTTTGATTTATCGAAAACTACATTTACTTTTAGTGATTTATTTTAAATAATTAATTGTCTCACATTATTTAGAGTTATGAAAAAATGTTAAATATAAATTTTGAAAGAATTTGATAATTGAATAAAGGAGAAAAAAAAAAATGCTTATCCAGGTCGAAAATGAATCTTCGGAAATATTAGTCAGAAGGTATATGTATAATATACCGTTGGAAAACGGAGAATTTTAGAAAAAGCGATATCTAATATAGAAAGTTGTAAAAGGTAATGGAGGTAATATGTTAATATTATTTATTAAAATTATAAATAATAATTTTTGAAAACTAATATTATTTAACGTTAATCACATGTTTTCAAGGAAATTAAATGAAATTTACTATAGATATAGATAGATTTTCTTTATTTGTACAAGAACATGATTTCTTGTACAAATAATTCAAAATATGTCTTCATGTGAGTTGTTTCCCGCACTTCATAATAAAGCTTTCATTTTAAATAAACAATCACTCTCATGATAATAAATAAACATAGGCCATCTGATACATAATTTTACTTCATTTATGAATCAATTATTAATATATATATATATATATATATATATATATATATATATATATATATATATATATATATATGTACATACATATCACACAATACAAAATAAATAACAACAACAAAAATTCATAATAAAACAAATATTAACCGATTCAATACCCGAATGACAAAAAAACTGTTAATAGCTATTCAATTGGTATGAGATGGTATCATTTTGGGAATAAAGTACATATTGGCTACGGATAATAAAAATAAATATATATGGTTCTCTAAATGAAATTTGAAATTTACTAACTAAATGTAAACTTTTAAAATATTTTTAAGTTTGAAAAAGTATTTAAAATTCACCTAATCAAAGTAATACCATTCTTTAAAAAACTATTTCATTGTATTTTTGTGAAAGAAGAAATATCAAATAATTTCATGGATTTATAAATCAGGAAGTTTTTATTCTGGGAATAAAGGTTATATTGACATGGAGAAGAAGAACCGAAATTTCATATAAGTAGAGGAGTAAGGCAGAGACACCCGCTATCCCCATCCTTGTTTATAGCACTTTTGGAGAAAGTGTTCAGAGAAATGGATTGGAGTGAAAAAGGTTGCAACATTAATGGGAGGAAGCTGAGCCATCTAAAATTTGTTGATGACATGGTATAGATTTCGGATAATGTTGATGAGATGAGAAATATTTTAGAAAGTCTCTTAATCCATAGTACAGGAGTAGGTCTGGTCCCAAACTATTCTAAAACAGTACTGAAGATGAATAGTACAAAGAAATAAATGAGAATCAATGAGGTAGTGTTGCAGTACTTCGACGAGTAAATGAAATCATTTACTTAGGACAGCTCGTATCTTTTAATAATCAGATGGCAGAAGAAGTGCAAAGAAGTATAACAAAGGCTAGGCAAAAATACTGGTTCCTGAAAGAAGTAATGAAGGGAAACTTTAGTTTGGATTGTAAGAACATGATGTTTGAAAGCTGCGTTCTCCCTTCAGTTACTTATCGCTGCCAAACATGGGCATTGACAAAGAAGGAGGAATCCAGGCTAAGTGTATGGCAAAACTCTATCTTAAGAAGCATATTGCACTACAGGAAAAAGGATAAAACTAAAAGCTTAACTATGTGTAAGGAATCTGGAGTAGGCGACATTAAAGAAATCATAAGAAAAATTAAATGGAAGTAGGCAGAGCATCTTGCCAGGATTCAAGATGAAAGATGGTCGCTGCATGATACTGAATGGATTGGATTCATTACAACCTGAAGAGAAGAAGGGGTAGACGATGCAGCAAAATGGAGAGATATCCTAAAGCTTGTTGCAGGACCAAATTGGATGCGAGCAGCGAGAGATAGAGGAAAATGGAAGAAACTGTGGAACTAAATGACCAATTCCACTTCCCATTAGGTTTGGTCACTGGGAAAGTAAGATCATCACCTCCATAATGGAGAGGCCTGTAAGAAGTAACAAATTGTATATTTTGTAAATATTTTAAGCAAAACAAGGAATGTTATTTAATTTAATTTAATTTTATTTTGTGAAAATTCTGTTGTTAAATATTATCATCATTTACACTGAATATGATCATTTAAATGTTATTTCTTAAAAAAAAAAGGAAAAAAAAAAAAAAAGAGCTTTATTCAAATACTTTTTTTTTCAAACTTAAAAATAATTTTAAAAGTTTACATTTAGTTAGGGAATTTCATTTAATTTTATTGGAAACATATGATTTTTGTTAAACAATAATGTTTTTATAAATTATTATTTATAATTTTTTTGTCATTCTCCAATATTTTCTACTACTTTCTATTTTAGATATTGTACTGAAATCCTTTGCTTTTCAATGATATGTTGTACTTATACCTTCTGACTATTATTTCTGGAGTTTCATTTTCGACCTAAATAAACATTTTTCTTCTTTATTCAATAATCAAATTCTTTCAAAAGTTATATTTACCCTTTTTTTCATTACTCCGAACAACGAGAGATACTTAATTATTTAAAATAAACTAAATTAAAGGTACTTTAGAGAAAGACACATTGAACATGGGGCATTTAAGTCCTGTTAAGTGACATCAATGGGGATCAGAACTAAATGATATTAAATACCACTTAATTATACATATGTACACCAAGTTAAATCAAAATCGTTTCAGCCGTTTTTGAGAAAATCTCTTCTTCTTTTTTTTAAACTTATTTATTCAGAATTATTACAATATATCACAATTAAGGATATTTATAATAGTGTTCAGAGATCACACTCACACTCTATTTAAAATAAATAAAAATAAATAATATAGAAAAATAATAATACTAACAGTAAATTTATATAAACAAAAGACCTAAACTAATCAAAATAACAAATAAAACACGAGCATACTTTTATACAATATTTACAGAATCCATTCACTCAGAAGACCTCCAAGCAAAGCCTTTCTCTCCACTAGTGGAAGGAAATGCAGAACTCTAGGAGATCCCAACGCCTCTTACTCAGTCACATTACCGGTATTAAGAACCAGCAGAGGCGCAATAATCACACATACATGGCTAGAGTGGAGAATCTGGCCATTGCCAAAACTCCAACATATGCTTATTCACAAAAGGTCTCTGAACCACTGACGCTTCAACCTTCGAGGAGGATCGTAAGGATGGGTGGGGCTAGAAATGGATTGTGCAAGAGGATTCAGATGATTTGTAAGGCTCTGATGAAATTTTGAGATTTTTTCTGGGATAAGGTCTAGGACAAATTAAGTTCATGGTGTAGGGTTTTGTTGGTTACATAGAACGGGGCATCAACTATTGTTCAACAGTCTGTAGTTGGTCGTATCGTCGGATGAGTTCTTGTCTTTTTCCATATTAGTCTTTGATCTAAAATAAATACAAGATACCGGTTGTCTGAGAAAGGAAGCTGGCTGGAATTAAAGTGAACTGGTGGACAGGAGTTGCGACGGAGTGTAAAGGTAATATGTTAGTTTTTGGATTCATTCACTTTAATACGCCAATTATTACACCAGTGCTCAATCGAGGAGAGGTGCTTTTGCAGATTTGAGGATGCTTTCTCGGAATCAGAGTTGGATGATAAGATTGCAGTGTCATCCGCGAATGTTGTAAGGAAGGTATGTGGATGAACAGGGATGTCAGCGGTAAAGAGAATGTAAAGCACGGGACCCAAGAATCTACCTTGCGGAACATCGGCTTTGATTGGATAAATATCGGAAAAGGCCGTTCCACAGGAGCGATCGGAGAGAAGGGATCGAAGGATTAGGTATAAGGAGAAAGATGGATTTTAAGCTTGAAGAGCAGCCCGGTGTGCCATACCAGGTCAAAAGTCTTTGCTATGTTCAGAAATGCACCCGAACATATAAGCACGTTTTCTAAGGCTACTGAAATATGATCAACGACTCGGAGTAATTGTTAAACAGTGGAGTGTTGTGAGCGAAAACCAAGCTATGGGAAGGAAGATTTTGAGATTCTATGAAGGTTAGGATTCGTTT